GCTTTAGTGCATAGATCATTGAATCCTTCAAAAGTTTGAGCCATAAGAGCCGTAGAGAGCTCATGTCGGAAGTTGTTAAGGCACATCCGAATTAACTCTAATTGCGTAAACTTTTGAGGACAAGCAAATGTCAAAGCTCGCCATCTTGCAATGAAATCTGTAACAGACTCATTGTCACGTTGCTTGGTCTCAATCAGTTCTGGTACTCGCTGCCCATCCTTCCAAAGAAAGAACGAACTGCCGTAGAAGTAACGCCTGGCTTTTTACTGTGTTTCCACATTGTGCAAGGAAACGAACCAAATGGCGCCTTGGACAACCTGTCCCATTATATAAAGGAAAACGAGGTACTGCATATCCTCGTGGGAACTGAACCCATTCGACCCAATTAGGGAAAGGGTGTCCAGAAATTTGATTTCTTTCAATACTCAAATTTTGATGGGCTTCAAAACCCTCATCTTTCAAAGAGACTGTTACTTTTTCCTGAGGTTCCGTTTCTCTTCTAGCTTCAATTTTTGCTTTCTCATCATCACCTGGATGCGAATGATATGTATTTCTCGCTCTTCAAAATTTACGTCCACAGTGATGACATTACAAGGAAAGTCAAAGTGGTCACTTGATATACTTTCTCCATCGTATGTCCTAGCTGGGGATGTGTATGGTGAATCATCAGGGGAAAAGTCAAGTTCCCAGTCTTCATTAGGATCCTTAACTTGAGATGACTTTGCTTGTTTATTTGAATGCTTCCATACTTCATCATCCGACTTACACCTGCCATTCACCTCATCATCCTTGAAGTGTAGTCGTTTTTTCGCCTTTTTTACAAGCTCAGAGTCGGACCTACACCCAGTGTCTCTTTGTTCTGTTCCCCTTACATATTCTGGAGTGCTTTGATAGTACGTTGGTGGTACTGGCGAATACTCTGGAGAAAAGGCTTCTGGTGTATACTCTGGAGAAGCTGGTGTATATTCTGGAGAGGCTGGTGTGTATTCTGGAGAATTTGGTGTATACTCTGGTGAGTCAGGTATACAGATAGGAGATGTAATGCAATCTCCTTCCCTAACTTTTGAACCAACTTCACCCTCATCTTCCTCGTCATCACTCAAAACAATAATGGTTAGGCAAGGGGCCAAAGTAAACTTTTCCTCCGTCACCCCAACGGCTTGAGTTCTTGGCAGTGATTTTGTCCGTCACCCCAACGGCTTGGGTCCTTGGCAGTGAACGTGTCCGTCACCCCAACGGCTTGAGTTCTTGGCCAAGGGGCTTTTGTTAATCTCTTTATATTATGACATTTTGCCTTCACTAACCATTTTTATTTTATTTTATATATATATATATATATTTTATTTAGGAAGCATGGACAAGACCCTTGAATATCTTCGACGTGACGAGAGGGATGTACTGGATAAATCTGGTCCGAAAATAATTCGGCACAAACCTATCACTGCTTTATTGTCACCCACTGAGTTGGACCCCTACATCCCTTTACATACGGCTTCCGAAGACTTGGTTTATACAGGAATTCGAAACTGCTGTGAGATTCTCGAGAAAGGGCACTCAAAATCAATTGGTTCATTCCCTGTCTCAATCCTTCGTCCATTTTCTGAGGACCTTGACTGCTCTGAATTTAATACTCTTCTCAAGAGAATGAAGCATGAAAAACTGAAGTGGGATAATTCCTTTAATGTCCGTGGCATTTCTACCCATTTGCAATCCCCCATATGGATTTTTTGGTTGAATGACGTTCTTTCCACATTTGCCCCTATTTTGAAGAAATGTGGGATTTATGCTGCAATCTATGTATCCCAATTTGCATATGCTAGGAATGTCTCCTTGCTCAAAGGATTCTTAGAGCGGTGGTCACCCGATACTAACACTTTCCACACCATTTATGGCGAACTTGGGATCTCTTTATGGGACCTTCATCGCATTAGCGGGCTCCCCATTCGTGGTGAGTTTTATGAGGAGTTTACCCCATCCAATGACATTTTATATTCATCCCAGACATCCAAGGCGTGCCGTGGGCTTTTCAACATTTATGCCAGCTCTGTTCAATCCAAGAAGTTTAACCACTAGACTTTTAAATTCATTGACGAATCCCCAACTTCGATCAGTGGGTTTCAACGAAAGGATAGAATTCCTGATGATGTGTATCTTTCCGGTTTTTTGGCGAGCTGGCTTAGCGGATTTGTTTTCCCTCACTCTTCTGGGGAAATTCGTCCGACGACCTTTCATGTAGCCACCAAAATGGCAGGTGGAACCTTATTTAGCCTGGCCATCCCCGTCCTTGCATACCTCTATCATTCTCTTGGTAAAATGGCATCATCATCTTCACCTGGGAAGGAAAATATTCAAGGTCCTTTACATTACTTTTTTGGATGGATTTCACTATATTTTGTCGAGACTTACTCTCATGGGGATCCTCAGTTGATTTGTCCAATTCCTGATATTCATTTCATGCCATATCTTGGGTTTATTGGAAACCAATCGGCAGCCCAATTTTTTAATGATAAATTTCCATTTGTGGACTCTCTCCTAACTTATCGTACGGAGTGTCAGTTTAGGGCTCTTACCCATGAAAGTGAACCTTCAGGCATTCTGGTCGACTCTGAAAGGATATCATCTTTCCATCTTTGCTATCTTATATCTTTGAGGCAAGGGGTTTTAACTTTTAAAATGGGATTTAATTTCATTTCTGAACCGTACTCCCCTAACCGATTCGGTCGTCAATTTGGGTTTGCTCAAGCATGCCCTACACCGCTTAATGTATCTTGTCGGCAACCCTTTGAGTGGGCTAAATTTTATTACAACTGGCGCCATATGCTACGCTGCGGTACAAAAGTCTCATTGGAGTTACCAGGCTCCCGATCTACTTCTCACGTAACCATGCCTTATGCCAATTGGTGGTTGGGAACTTCCTTTACCGTGCTTCAATATGTTACTCATTCCCAGTCGAAATCTTCACGCAAGAGAAAACTAGATATGTCAATTAAAGACCGAAAGACGAAAAATCCTCCTTACTCTAGAGCTAGGTCATCATCTTCACCTATAGCTCTGGAAGCATCATCACTTCAGAGAATGGATAATAATCGACCACTTATTGCTCCTTCTCGATCTAGTTACTCGGCTTCAGATCTCCTTCATCTTTTTGAGGATATGTGTAATTCTCAATTTAAAAATGAGATTTAGCTTTGAGCAAGCAGATTCTGGTCCCCAATTTTCTAGTCTCGCAAAGCTTTTTCCAGAGACTATGTCTATCAGTGATTGTACAGGAACTTCCCAACCCACTGTAGCGACCAAAACCCCAATGGATCAATTTTGCACATACTTGTACTCTTTTCTTGAAGATAAAGATGAGAATATGATTCAAGAACTCTTTGAGGGAGATGGGTATGAATTAACTGCCTTGGGTCGTATTCGCATTAAGAGTGTTGAAATTCCTTCTCCTACCAAATCTTTTGATTGTTCTCTCAATGGAAGTAGCGAGAGTGAAGATGAGTTTTATGACTACACCCCTCTTTTAGATGGCACACCGACTAAGATGAGTAAATCGCCTTCAGCAAATGTAGCTTTTTCTTCTCCTTTGAACGAGTCATCCAAGCTATTAGAGAAAGGTATAAATTTTATTTTATTTTTTTTATTTTTATTTTTTTATTTTTATTTATTTTTATTTTTATTTTTTTATTTATTTATTTTTTTTTTAATACCTTTCATTTTCTTAGGCACTGCGCCTCAAACTTCCCCAGCTGCCTCGCATATGCCATTGGATACCTTTAAGGGTATTCTTATTCATTCCTTGTACCTCATTTTATTTCATCATGTATAGATACTCAAGGAACTCTTTTCTCTTTAGATCATGCCACATTGCAAAATCCATGGTCCACTTGTGGGAATCAGAATTTGTCTCATCCACCTAAGTCTCTTCAAGCCGTACACCAAGGTATACTTCATTCATCTATATATATATATTGCTTTTACCTTCTGCGTTTTCATTGAGTATCTCCTTCTATTTTTCACAGAAAATACTTCTGACACATTGGAAGAGACAGACGAAATTACTTCTGATACCTCGGTAGAGGCCCAAATTCTTGCAGACTTACTTGAAGCAAATGGGGTTAACAAATTATTTGACAAACTTGAAGCACCCACCCTTTGCTTCATCTGGCCTTCTTTTGGGAACTTCCTCTAACGAAGCAGCCACCCATATTCAGAAAGGTCTTACTATTTCTCTCCAATCAATGACGGATGTTAATGGCATGATTGCTGTAGGTGACGGACACATTCACTGCCAAGGACCCAATCCGTTGGGGTGACGGGCACGTTCACTGCCAAGGACTCAAGCCGTTGGGGTGATGGACACGTTCACTGCCAAGAACTCAAGCCGTTGGGGTGACAGACACAATCACTGCCAAGAACTCAAGCCGTTGGGGTGACGGACACATTCACTGCCAAGGACTCAATCCGTTGGGGTGACGGACACGTTCACCGCCAAGGACTCAATCCGTTGGGGGTGACGGACACGTTCACTGCCAAGGACTCAATCCGTTGGGGGTGACGGACACGTTCACTGCCAAGGACTCAATCCGTTGGGGGTGACGGACACGTTCACTGCCAAGGACCCAATCCGTTGGGGTGATGGACACGTTCACTGCCCAGGACCCAATCCGTTGGGGTGATGGATACGTTCACTGCCAAGGACCCAATCCATTAGAGTGATGGACACGTTCACTGCCAAGGACCCAAGCCGTTGGGGTGACGGACACATCACTGCCAAGGATTCAAGCCGTTGGAGTGAAGGACACATCACTGCCAAGGATTCAAGCCGTTGGGGTGAAGGACACATCACTGCCAAGGACTCAAGCCGTTGGGGTGACGGACACATTCACTGCCAAGAATTCAACCCATTGGGGTGAAGGACACAATCACTGCCAAGGATTCAACCCATTGGGGTGAAGGACACATTCACTGCTAAGGATTCAAGCCGTTGGGGTGACGGACACATTCACTGCCAAGAATTCAACCCATTGGGGTGAAGGACACAATCACTGCCAAGGATTCAACCCATTGGGGTGAAGGACACATTCACTGCCAAGAATTCAACCCATTGGGGTGAAGGACACAATCACTGCCACGGATTCAAGCCGTTGGGGTGACGGACACATTCACTGCCAAGGATTCAAGCCGTTGGGGTGACAGACACAATCACTGCCAAGGATTCAACCCATTGGGGTGATGGACACAATCACTGCCAAGGTTTCAAGCCATTGGGGTGAAAGACCCAATCACTGTCAAAGATTCAAGCCGTTGGGGTGACGGACACAATCACTGCCAAGGATTCAAGCCATTGGGGTGAAAGACACAATCACTGCCAAGGTTTCAAGCCATTGGGGTGAAGGACACAATCACTGCCAAGGTTTCAAGCCATTGGGGTGAAAGACCCAATCACTGCCAAGGATTCAAGCCGTTGGGGTGACGGACACAATCACTGCCAAGGATTCAAGCCATTGGCCACGCGTATCGCGCGCCTCTTGCCGCCCGACAAACTGGCACGCCTTTTCATGGCACATCTTTTGATAAAGTGGACACGCCTTTTGATGGCACGCCTTTTGAAAAAAATGGGCACACCTTTTGAGGGTGCGACTCTTCAAGGGTCCGACAAGACTCTGTAAACTGTCCCGACATTGATTC